ACCCAGGGGTCCATGGTTTGTATGTGGTTTTCGAGCTTCGTTTCTGTGTGCCGAGGAGGAGCAGACAGAAGCGGTGTGTCTCCTTTTTTATCTTTGGAGGCAGATTTAAAGCCTTGTCACTGCATCTCGGAGCCGGCTGGAAAGCAATCTTTAAATTACCCCTGTATTCTAGACACTAATGTCCGGGCAGGCAACCTGCTGTGGGCTTGAAGAGACTCCACGGTTTAGTAAACGCTGTTAATCAACCTTTTTTTCTTCTTCCAAGGAATCAATGTGGTGACGCAAGCCTGATAGTCAAAGCAAGGAAGCAGCACGTGAACCAGACGAACTCTGCTGTGCCTCAGCTCACCTGGAAGCAGCGGTGAGAGCTTGGTGTAGGACGAGAAGCCAAGCCGCAGCATCCCTCTGCCCGTGCTGTGCGTCTGCTCGGCCCCTCCGGGAATCACTCCCGTTACCCACAGCAGGTTTGCAAGGGGAGAAAGTTGTAGCTGTTACAGAAAACAAAAAGTTTTGCTGCAACTTCTGAGCAGATAAATTAAAAATTTGCTAATATTGCTGAAGTGGCCAGGATCCTCCAGCCTTATAAAGCCAAATGTAGATTTATTATAAGCGTTTACCAGCAATCCTGATATGCACATACAAATGCATCTATGCATATGTATGTGTGATGTCTTTATATTTGTACAGTAAAGGTAGAAGTGTTCAGGACTTTTGTTTTTCTTTGAAGAAACTGTCCAAACCCCAGACAGTTAAGAATTGCTGGCCGACGATATGTGTTTTAAATTGACCTTGTCAGCTGCGGCTCATGACTTTCCAGCAGAGGGAAATGCAGCACAAGCCGTGAGGGGTTGTGGTGATGGCAGGCAGCCCTGGCAAACTCAAACTATCTTTGTTCTCTTTTAACTTCACTTTCTTCCACTGCCAAACTCTGATGCATGCTGAGTGATTAAAAATATCAAATACAGTGTTACCCAGCAAGGAGTCAAGTCAGAGGAAAAAAAAGAAACCCAACCTAGTGAAGCCAGTGCTGTAAAACTGAGCAGACTGGGACAAAGAATGGGAAGCAGAAGACTTTTATATAGCTTTGTCGACAGTATCTTAAGAAAAAGGAGAGGATTGTTCTGACGTGGTTTGTTTTTTGGGTCTCCCCCTCACCTGCCTTCTCCATATCCTCGTGGCTTGGCTGGGAGTTGTTGGATTTCCGTGCACACTGAGCTTGCTGTCACCACGCCGGAGACAGGGACCGCTGGTGCTGGAAGAGGGGAGATTTCTGAAAGAAGCAGCCAGCAAGGTGGTTGGTGGCGCTGGGCAGTGAACTGGGCAGTGCGCTCTCAGAGTTATGTGCTTGGGTCACGGCTTTACCGATATGTCTCTGCTCCCTCCGGAGCTCCCATCCTCACTGCCCTGAGGTTGCCCCTTAGGTCCCGTCCTCACCGGCTCTGAGCCTGCTCCAGCGAGGGCTGTCCCACCGCCTGCGTGGGTGGCCCCAAGGGTTTTAGCGGCCGTGATCAGTGCATGACAGGAGCAAAGAAAAGCTGAGAAACATCTTGCTGCCGTGCTGCGGCAGCAACCCTGGCCATGTCGCGCCTTTTATTTTCTGGAGCATCCGGACAACGTCCTGTGACGCCTGAGCACTGGGTCGCTCTGCGTCTCCTCCAAACGCAAGTCGGGAGCAAGCAGAGGGGCGAGCGAAAGGGGGGGGGCTCGGGGCAGAGACTGCCCCCGGTGTTGGCTCTGCTCTGGGACATGGGGGTAGCCACAGCTCAGCTGCAGAGTGGGGCCATCAGCTGCTTGCGTACTCGCTACCCTTTTATTTAATCACGGGAAGCTGGATGGTTTTTATGGGTTTGTGCAGTGCCTCGGCCCAGCCAAGCCCTGAGCTCGGTGGAGCCTCTTTCTGCTTCTTGCTGCCGTAATGCAGTTATAAAAGAAACCCAAGAGGTTTCCCTGGCTTCTGTGGATTTGCTTCTGGGTCCGATGCCAACTCAGGGAGCCCGGTTCCTGGTGCAGGTGCCGAGTGCCTCCCCGGCTCAGCAGTACTGCTGCGAATCCCAGCCTGGCCTGGAAGAGCAGGGAATTCACCCAAACCCGCCTTGTGCCAAGGGGCAGGACTGTCCTGCACAGGCTGACAGCGAGTACATGCAGATCTGCTTTTGCTGTCACTTACAGTTAATTTATTTTTAGATTAAAAAATGTTTTTACTTCTCATGCACACAGAATTGGCACTGCTCTTTTGGGTTGTAGCTGACTCTATTGTCTTCTCCAGTTATGCCTCCCCTGCAGTGCTGAAATGAAAAATTCCAGTTACATATTGTACAGGGGACGGGAGCTCGGAGGAACTGACTCATCTTGGTTATATTTGTCATTTTCAAAGGGGAAGATCCTGGTCAAGGGGTGGTGGGGCAATGGCATCAGTCGTCTCCCATCCACCACAGCAAACGTGATGCTTTTATCAGGGGTCCGCAGGGTGCGTGGCCGAGTGTCCCCGTGAAGGGAGCCGGGCGTCCTCGCAGTGAGAGGCTCCTGGGGCTGCTCAGATCGGGGCAGTGGGGAAGGGAAGGGTTGGTGTTGTTTCTCAGAAAAATAATTGTGGCTTCAGCGTGGCAGAGGTCGCAGCACGCTCCCCGGGATGCAAGCCAAGCCCCCGCAGGTAGTGAGCCACGGCGCTGGGGATGTTTCCCACCCACGAGGGAGGGTGGATGGGGAGGACACCCCCAAGCTGGAGCTGGAGCGAGGTGCTGCGGTACGCCCAGCTCGCTCTGCTTGGGCAGCACTTGAACACAACAGCCGGGACACCGGGATGGCTGGTCCCTCACCCTGAGCCGGGGCATCCATCAGCGTCGCTTCCCAAAACACCTGACCCCGCTGCCTCTGTCCCGCAGTGCAGCCTCTGTCTTCCACCCGCTGCGGATGATCTGCTGCAGCACCTGGCCTGGGAGCCGCAGCGGCTTGAGCTGGGCGTGTGGCACCGTGGCCGGACCTGCTGCACGAAGTGTGGGTGTGCAGTGCCGTGGTTTGTGTGTGCAATTCTGTGATCTGGGTGTGCAATGCCTTGATTTGGGTGCGCAGTGCTGTGATTTGGGTGCGCAGTGCCGTGATTTGGGTGCGCAGTGCCGTGATTGGGGTGTGCAGTGCCGTGATTGGGGTGCACAATGCCATGGTTTGAGTGTGCAGTGCTGTGATTTGGGTGCGCAGTGCCATGATTGGGGTGCGCAGTGCAGTGGTTTGGGTGTGCAATGCCGTGGTTTGAGTGTGCAGTGCTGTGATTTGGGTGCGCAGTGCCGTGGTTTGGGTGTGCAGTGCCATGGTTTGAGTGTGCAATGCCATGGCTTGGATGTGCAGTGCCATGTTTTAGGTGTGCAGTGCCGTGGTTTGAGTGTGCAATGCCATGGTTTGAGTGTGCAATGCCGTGGTTTGGGTGCTCAGTTCCGTGGTTTGGGTGCGCAATGCCACGGCTTGGGTGTGCAACGCCGCAGTCCAGACCAGCGATGCCACGACGCGGCTCGGCCCCGCAGCGTGCCAGGTCCTAGCACCGGTCGTCGGCGCTGCTGGTGCGTGCGGGGGGGTGAGGGAGCCGTGAGCGTGACGGGAGCTGCGATAAGGCCCCGCGTGCGGTGGCGTGAGCGCAGCTCTCCTGCGCGGTCCCAGCAGCTGCAGGAGCCGCTTCCACTTCCTGCCCGTCCCTGCCTGTGCAGCGCAGCTCCGTGCTGTTCAACAGCTGCCGCGCTCCATCCTGTTTCGTGATGAAAGGTGCTTTAGAAGCGGAAGAAAGTTATGATGAGCAGGAGAAATAACGTACAGGCAGGGCTGGAGGCAAGGCAAGCCTGCGCTCATCCCGGTCGCAGCCCTTGGGGTGGGTGGTGGCGGCGGGGGGATGGACGTCCTCAGCCGGGCAGCAGGGACCCTTCCCCACCTCTGATTTTGGGGGGAACCACAGGGGTGAGTGTGGCTGGGACATACGGGG